TTCCTTCTTCAGCCATCCTCACGGAACCAGAGGCTCCTTCTTTCCAGCCAGTGAACAGACTGTGTGCAGGCTGGATGTCCTCTTGGTGTTCGGCCCCATTTTGGCTCTTTGCAGTCTTGCTCAGAGCATTTGTTTTCATTGTTGGCAGGGGATGGGGGGTTGGAGGGTGCTTTCTTCCCCACCAAGCCCCCCCTGCCATGCCTCCTCCCTTTTTTTTTCTTTGCTTCTCATTTCTGCTGCCCTGGGGGTTCATGGATTTTTCACATGGTGAGTTTGCTACAAGAAAGGCTTCCTCGAGACTGAGGTGCCAGTAGGCGCTGCGGGGCTGGCTGCCTGTAGCTGTTGCAGGCCCTCAGCTGTGCACGCAGTGCCAAGGCCTAGGGCAAAGGTCAGCACTCCCAGCTTACAGGCTTTGAAAAGGACTTCACCCATCCTTTGATGACAGTGGCAAAAGTTATAAGGGAGCCAGTTTCTCTCCTTCTCTTAGTTTAAGAGCATGCATTTTGCTGCCTGAGTTCAAATCCTGGCTCTTCCTTTAATAAGCATTAGGTAAATTCCTTAACATCTTTGTTTCTTAATCTGTAAAAGAGGTATAATACTGGTATCCAGGACATAAGGCTGATGTGAAGATTCTGGTGTATAATTTATATATAAAAATATCAAATATGAAATAGCACTATATGTATTTATATTTTATTATATTATATTGCATTATACTTATATCATATTTTATAATATATTATTATAATATACAACATACATGCTATCATATAATAACACACATAAGATATGGTATATGAAGTATACATATATAGGTAATATATGTAAAGCTTTTAAGACAGAACTGGTATATAGCAAGCAGGTAATACGTAAGAATTTACTACTACTATTTTTTGCTTTTGTGGAAGGGTTTTTTTTTTTGAGGGGGAATACATTTTTGTTTTTGACTTATAAGCAAGGCTGATTATTTTTCCTCAGACTCAACTGAGTGGTTGGTTGTCATTTCTATCTTTATGGTAACGAGACAGTAGTTTGCAAGTAGTAGGCACTGAGTGAGTATGTGTAGCTTGATTTAAATCTGAAGCACATTAAGCACACCTGGTTGACTCTTGCGGCAGAAGCAGTAGTAGCATTTGGAAAGGTTAGTCTCCAGGTTGCCTGGCCAGGAGGTAAGCAGGCAGCCCACCTGCCCGAATCCTTGGACCTGCAGATGGCACACTTGTTCCCACTACTTTTCTGCTCTGTCCCAAGACTCTTGGGTTTGGGATGAACATTCAGAGGCCAGGCTGTGATCCAACCTTCATCCATGCTTTGCCTCTGCAACATTCTGGAGTTGGGGGTAGGGGCTCAAACCCTGTTTCACATTTGGGATAATGAGTATTTTTTCCTTGAGACATTTTTCTTTTTTAAGAGCTGCATTTCATGATAAAGTTGAGCTAGGAAGTAAGGCTAGTTTTTTAAATTAAAAAAACACATCTTCTGTGCTAGAAAAACCTAAGTAAGACCCTGTCCTCATAGTAGTTACAGTGTAGAAGTGCAGTTTTGTAAACACACATATACATTAAAGTAGACTAGGAACACTAGGGTAGGAAGTATTTTTGGTACTTGTAGATACAAAAGCAAGGGGATTCTATTTAACCTTTATGATGGGCAAGGGTGAATCTTGAAAATGTTTATGGAAAAGATTTTATTTGAGCTAATCCAGAATGTGGAGTAGGTTTGCATGAGTCAGACGGGACAGGAAGCATATTCGAGACAGAAAACAACATGAGTAAGGTCGCAGAACCTCAAAGCATCCCGGTGGTATGAGAATTACAAGAATCCGCCGCGGCTGAAATGAAGTAAGCGTGAAGGAGAACAATGAGAATTCACAATAGCGAATGGTCAGGGGTTATCAGTGGCATGCTGGAGCTGGCTTGTGTCTGGCTCATGAGAGAGAGAGCCATTTATTAAATAGCCAGTAGTTTTGCAAGCTTGTTGTTAAACTGTTGATTGCTTAAAATTGACAGTGGTAAGAATATTTATACCACCAGATCAGCAAACGCTATACATCAGGGCTTTGTTTTTTTGCTCCCCAGAGTTGCTTTACCAGCAGTCTACAGGTTGTGATGCCCTTGTATGCCTTTCTGATAATTACTCTTTAGGGTCTCTCCCTGTAGGCTGGCGGAGCCAGTGCAGACTGATTGGCAGGGAAGCAATATGATCAAGTTTGTCATTTAAAGAGACGTCTCTGTGTCTTTGGTCCTGGCCCTGAGGAAATAGACCCAGAAAGGGAGATACTGCGGAGCATTTTGAGACTAGCATTTGAGGGGGACCAAACGAAACAGGATTGGATGGAAGAGTTGAATGGTGAAGCTGCTGTAAGACTGGTCCCACAGGGGAGCTTTGGAGCTGAATGGTTCCCACCCAGAGGCACAGGGGTCAGACCTCTGTATACCTGCAGTCACAGGGTGGGGGGGGGAGGGAGGGGGAAGGCTGTCCCTGTGGAGGGGTACCTAACCATGGTGAAGTGGCTCACTTCAACTGAGGGCACTCTCTGGAGAAGGCTCAGCAAGTAGGGGAGAGAGTTCCTCGGGCCTAGAGGCTATTCTGGGTGTTGCACCCCGTCATCCACGCCACTCTGGGGGCAGTCTGGGGATCTATGGGCTCCACGGGAGGTGGGAGGCAAGGAGAATGGTTGGGAGAGTGTTACAGAAGTCCAGATTCAGATGATGAAGGCCCAAGGTGAAGCAGCAGCCACGGGGTTGGAGGAGGTAGGGATGGGCAAGTGGGAAGGTAGGAGCTATGGCACTGGTTCTTCCAACGCAGTGCTTCTTAACTCAGGGTGGGGGCTGCCCCTGAAAGTCAGGAAACATTTTTGATCATCATAACTTGGGGGGGGGTGTCATGTGTCTGTGTGTGTGCTACTGGCATCTCATGGATACATGTCAGAGATGCTGCCAAACATCTTATAATGCCGCCAGCCCCACAAATAAATAAATCTTAGGCCCCAAATATCAGTAACATCAAAGTTGATCTGATACTAGGAGTAAAGGAAATGTGTGAGGCCTTCTTTCTCTGTTTCTGCCCTGGGACTCTGGGAATTGAGTGCATGATTCAGCACCAGATGGTTAGAGTGGAGACAGTACTTGGCTGATAGGCAGAGAAGAGAAGAACTCTCATGAGCAAATACGTACGTACCCCATTGTCTCCAATGCCCTACCTGGCTCCTATGAAAATTTTAATTCTAGGTAGTGATAGAGTCTCATGACTTTCCCTTCTGTCTCCTTTCCAACAGATTAAAGTAAATTAGACCTAAATTAGACCTTCATCCTGTATTTAAAACCACAGAGGTGAAAGCAAAAAATAATAAGGTGGCTCTTAGAATAACGTTTGTTTTTTTGCTGACAGAGTAAAAGTCTGACAGAGAAATGAACTTCGGAGATAGTTTTAAAAGGCACTGCTTAGGTTTTAGCCAAGTAGTAAAGCAAAGAAGATTAAATGCAGAAAATTAAATTTAATTCAGCAAAACCAGAAGTTGATTAGGGCAGTTTGAACTTAGGCTGTGGACAAGCCGTATATAAAATATCTTGTTTTGCTTCTTAACATGAGCCTATTCCATTATAGCAAGTTGATGAGGCCTGGGTTTTTATTTTATTATTTTATTTTTTTGCTGAAAGCTGGTTATTGCACAGTGATGGCCTCAGCATCAGGCTCTGAGTGTCCTGGTCAGAGCCGAGGAGTGAACCCAGCAGGCTGGAGCAGAGTGAGTCCTGGAGACACTGCGGGTTTGTCAGGAGCACAAGGTCAGATGGATGGCCAGGAGGGGCACTGGTCGGGGCAGAGTACAGGGAGGCATATTAATTCCTGGGGCTAGAATACTGGATTACAGACCAGAGCAGTAGTCTAAAGCTTTGTATAAAGGCCCAGATAGTAAAAATTTTAGCTTTCGTGGGCCATACTGTCTCGTTTGCACCTCTGTGGGTACAGTGTGAAAGCGGGCAGATACCATGCAGATGAACCAGTGTGCTGCATTCCAGTGGAAGGTGACTTAACCAAACAGGTGGCAGGCCCTATCTGGCCCATGGGCAGGAGTTTGCTGACCCCTGGACTAAGGTCTTCAGAAGCTGGGTGCACTGAAAAATTATTTTGATGTGCTGTTTAAGGAAGTGTTGCTCATGAAGACATGGGTAAGATTTATGACTAAGGATGCCAAAGACATTCATTTTCTTTCCTTCATTTTGGTCTCTCTGTCCTGGTCATCTCTCTCCTTTACACACACACACACACACACACACACATTTGATTAATAAGTGATTTCCTGTTATTTTTACAAGTGTTGAATATGTAGGGTTGAGAACCACCTTGGGTCAGTGGTCCTCACCCTAAGTGTCTGATAGAATTACCTGGGAGAGGGAACTTTTGGACATCCCAGTGCCCAGGGTGCATTTGGAGCAATGAATCTGAACTCTAGGGATAGGGCCAGACATCATTCTGTTTCAGCGCTCCCTGGGGACTCCACTGTGCAGCCAAGGTTAAGAACCACTACCTTGGATTTAAAGGATTAAAAAAAAATGTCCTGAAATAAAAAAGGAAATTTAACCTGTGTAGGTAACTGTTTATGGCTCTCGGCTTACAACTATGAAAAGAAGATTCTTCAGGTTCTAAAGGGCTGTATGCAGACAACACTTCCCAGTGACACATTTGCAACTCTTTGTTGTGGTTTGATAGAGGCAATAAAAGAACTATCAGGAAGCTATTGTGACTTGGCTGATGTCTGTATTTCTAGCCAGAAGGGCTTTTTCCATCAGCGAGTTCGGTGACAGCCTTTGAGCACGGTGAAAGCTTCCAGGTTCCAGCGATTAAGTCATTATCCACAGAAGCCAGTCTCACCAGAGTAAGTGATCAGGACAGATGCTCTGACGGCGTCCAGAGGGAATAACCTTCAAACATCGTCATGGGCATGTGCATATTTGATGATGTTTCTTAAAGACAACCTAATTGACCGACCTCAGAATGATTTTCTCATTTGTTTAATGCAGGGAGATGTAGGGCAATTCAAAAGGAAAGATTCAAGGAACTTTTCTAAAGGTATGTTGAAATATTTTGAAACTGTGGATAGGGGGATAGTAATGTTTTGTGGGTAGGGACATTTTTAAGGGATCCAAAAGCATTTTGTTCACAAACAAAGTTTTGGTCATTTTACAAATGAAAGATTCTAACTTTGTAACACTGGAATTGCTCAAGCATGTCATATTCAAGGCTGAATCTGGAAGACTTAGTGCTTTCTTTCCTAAGCAAGAGCTAGGAGAATCCGGACTTTTGGGGAAGAGTTTTCGGGCCAGGAGCAAATGGTGTAATGACTACTTCAGCTTCTCAGGTTCCGTTCTCCTAGAGATGTGAGAGTTGTTTTGTTTATGGAGAGGTGATGGAAAGTCAGCGGGATTTTATCCACGGTTAGTAACTGAAGACCCAACAAAAGTGGTTGCAACAACAAGGGTTTGTTACCCCCTCCGTGAAGATACCTGGAGATGCCTCAGTGCTCCGGGGCTGGCTACTTCAATAACTGAGCCATGGCCTGGCTTTGGCTGGTATCTGATTGGATTTCTGATTCCCTTGACTTTTTCTCCCTGGCCATATGACAACATCCAAGGGCAGCAAGACAAGGGGCATTTCTCCGCTGGGTCTTATTATTTTCATCAGGAAGGGAAAGCTTCCAGGAGCTCCCAGCAGACTTCCTCTCAGGTTTCAAACCTGGAGCCAAACGCTGTGCAGCTTGTTCGCCCTTAAGCCCATGAAGGGGTTACTAGAGTTGGCATAAACTAGGGGTTAGCACACTTCCGGAAAAATCTCATTGCGAGTATTTTGGGCTTTGTGGGCCACATGTGTTCTCTGGTCCATATTCTTCCCTTTCTCTTCTTAACCCTGTGAAAATGTAAAAACCACTGTAAGATCAAAGGGTGTGTGCCAGGCATTAGCTAACCAATTATGTTTCATTTTCTGGGACTGGTGGGGGGGTCCACCATTGCCACCCATTTTGTGAACAATACAGTGATTTTGTTGGCGCATTGAGTGGGCAGCCAACTGTGTTTGCCTCAGTATGTAATTTGTAAAATTGTGATGATTATTAAATGAGATAACTAAGCAAAGCAAATAATCTAGTTCTGGACACATCAAAGGCCCTCAACAAATAGGAGTTACTTATGTTATTGTTGTTTTATTCTTTCTTGGTATGCCTGTGTCATCACTGGGGAATTTTGTCATCTAAACTCCCCTTTTGGATATGCCTGGAATTCTGATTAGATCACAATAGAACATTATTTCATGACTCTTAGTTGGTTCAGTTTTCCTCTATCGGGGGGGAGTATGGCTTCTAAATTCCCTGTCTTGTCCATTTAGACAAACTTTAAAGTAATTTGGCAATGGGCAATTTGATGAAGAAAAATTGGGTTATGAATTCTGAGGAACTCTTTAGTCACCCTTTCATTGGAGTGGAATTATCATTCTCACTGTGTTAGGTTAGACTGTGTAACACCCTGCCCCCCAAATCTTGGTGGCTTAACACAGGAAAATGGTATTCCTTGCTTATGCTACAAGTCCCAAATGACTCAGCAGGGAACCCTACCCCACTGAGTGACTCAGTGACCCAGCCTAATTGAGACTCTACCGTCATGGAGTTGCAACTTTGGGATCGCATGACCTAGGAAAGAAGGAGATTGGAGAACAGCTCTTGAGCTTCTCGTGGCCTCAGCCTGCAAGTGACATATTTCACTGTCCGGCACTGATCACGTGGGTTAGTCCAACTGCAAGGAGGGCTAGGAAATATGGGGAACAAAGGGAACATTGAGTATTCCTATCACTTCCGCTGTCCCACGACTTTATTCGTATTCTTCAGAACATAAATGATAGGAGTGAAAGGTCTGTCATCCTTGGGTCACTACAATATGAAAATTCAGTAGGATTGGTCATTGCAATGTCTAAAGCACTTTCTTTTACTTTTTGAATTCTGCTCTAACTCAGTGAGTTTCAACTGGGAGAGTTGTTACTCCCTGGAGTATATCAAGTGACCTCTAAGGACATACTTGGTCACAAAGGGGTGGGGGTTGCTACCAGCATGTAGTGGGGAGAGGTCAGATATGCTACTAAACATTATGCAGTGCGTAGGACAGCCACAGACTACAGAAAATTATCAAGGCCCAGAAGAATCATATGCAAATTCAAGTTTGAAAAGTGCTGCTCTAGGCTGGTCTCAGATTATGGCCCTATGACTACAGATAACACGTTTCCCCCCGGAATACCAGGGCTCCTTCTAAAAAAGTTACAACTAACTTCCTTCTTCCCTCCCTGCCTCCCTCCCTCTCCTACCTTTTTCCTTTTTTCAAAAAATGCATATGCACAGGACCTGCCCTAATGGGGGGGGAGGGGCAGGGTAGGGCCACAGCCAGTTAAACAAATACCCCAGGGCATTTATATGACCCGGAAGTTTAAGAACCATATCCCAGTACAAATCTTTACAGTTGTTTCGGATTTCCTCCAAAACTTTGGACTTTGGAGGCTCACCCTCACAATTAGTGTCAACTCTGTTGAGTTTTTTGTTGAGTTGATAGTATGTCACTCTCTTGCTGTCCCCAGATCTCTACCTGGCTTTCACCCTGTCCTTGGAATACACTTTTATGAGGCATTGAAGAATGCACAGTGTTACGGAGATTCAGAAAAAGAAAAAGGGCTTTTTGTTTACATCTGGTGCCTTTCTAGTAACAGCCCCGCATTCCCCACACGCGCCCCTCCACCCCAGAGTGGCCGCGGTGTCTGCATTCTGCACCTTCTCCGTGCGCACTGTCTCTCCGTGGCAGCTGTCTGGCTTCTCTCTTCACTTTGCCACCAAATCTCTTCTTCCAAAAGTCGCCAGGGACTTCCTTATTTTCATTTCCAGCGACCTTTTTGAGTATTTTAAAGCAAACCTCTTAGAGGTTGGCAACCTTATAAAAAATCATGTGTTACCGTTCTAACCTGCCTTGCTGGTGGGCACAGTTGAGCACCACTGTCAGCCTCAAAGCCAGGAGAAATTGGACCTTACTCTCCCTTTCCTTGCCAACCCCCAGGGTAGGAAAGTAGTCAGTCACTGAAGGTTTTTATACTTAAAAACATGTTTTATAAATTTAGGTTTACTGCAATTTTGTTTTGTAAATTAAGCTAGTTATTTTAATTCCAAATTCATTTCATTAACAAATGTCTTCTGATAAATAATTGCTTGTATGATTCTTGTGATGTGTGTTGTTTTGTAGTTGATTCTGACTAGACTTTTCCCTTGTTTTATAGAATGCACCATGTTCAGAGTAGCTAAGTCATTATCTTCCCTTTGAGAACCTATGAACTAAGTCTTTAACACTCAGTGGAAGGAGAAGTACTGAAATTGAAAGGAAATAGAATAAGAATGCACCAAATTCAGGGCATCCTTGCCCCCCCAAACCTCCCTCCCTTCCTTTCCTTTCCTTTCCTTCCTTCCCTCCCTCCCTCCCTCCCTCCCTCCCTCCCTCCCTCCCTTCCTCCTATTAATCCTCCTGCCTTTCTTTCCCTTTCTTCCTTTTCTCTCTCTCTCTCTTTTTTTTTTTAACATACTCAGCAAACACATTCCAGACAGTACATTAGGCTCTGGGGATGGAGCAATGAAACAAACTTGTCCCTTGCCTTTAAGATGCTAAGGGTTTAGCACTGGATGGTACTGTCATCGAATAAAACAATTTGCTAAACATATAGGGGAGGTGAGGGTCCAGTGGGCCTGAGAGGGAGTGATGATGATGGGGTGAGTGGGAAGCAAGTAGAGACTCGATCTTGAAAGGTGAGCATGTGTCCTCTTGAAGTGTTAGAAGGGTGGAGACAGAGGCCTTTGGCAGTGGCCTGAGCAGATCCAGGACAGGGAGGTAATAGTTTACCTGGTGCAGCCATGGTGTCCTGAGTGGGTATTGACTGAGGAGGCCAGGGAGGGAGGGGGGCACAAGTCTGGACTTTAACATAGAGAGCAGCATGGCCATGCATTGGTGTCAGCCCAGAGGACTGTGGCTTGGAGAAGTATGCATTCCTGAAAGATGGGAGGCCAGAAAGAAGACCAGTGCAGAGTCTAGCTGAGACCGGATAGACCAGGGTTTGGTATTGAGAAGTTGCTCGGGGCCGTAGCAACCTTGACAACACACAGGTGAGAGGCGCAGGGAGAGAAAGAGCTAAAAGACAGAATCTTAGGTTGTGTTGACTCTCGATGGGGAGGGTGAAGAAAGAGTTGCTTAGAGAAGTATGAGGAAAACCTATGTGGTGCAGGTTTAAAATGCTCACTACCCTTTCCAACTAGTTGTAAGAAAGCCCTTTTTGTGTTGAAATAGCTCACATCCCCTTATTCCTTCATCTCCAGGAGTAACTCAGAGCAAATCTGCTTCCCTTGTCACGCAGCAGTTCTTGAAGTGATTGCAAGATAGCTGCCGTGGTTTCCCTTGACCTTTTCCTCTCTGGGGCACCCCCCCCTACCCCCGTGGTCTCCCCAGTCTGTGTGGGACATGGTTTCCGATCCCTTACCTGCACTGCTGGCCTGGCCGGGAGCATGTGGTTGCCATGGAATGGAAAGAATAAGGGAAACGTCCTCCCATTGTCTCCATTCCTTCCTCCTTCCGCAGACATTTCTTTCTTCCAAATTTTATAGCCTGACTCTGCGTGAGTTGTTGGGTCAGTGAACCCGAGGGGTGGAAGAGACAGCTCGGAGGCCGCTGAATAGCCTCGCTTTGTCTAGAAGCATGTTTTTCTGACTGTTTATGGTGCCTGACAGGCTCGTTTTTGTTCTAGGGAGAGCTGGTTTGAGAACGCAGGCTGCTGAGAAAGCTGTAGGGCTCCACTTCGCTCTGGGGTGACCTCCAAGGCCCTCCCAGAGAGCTGCCATTTAGCATCCCAGAGGCACCCCTTGCCCAGTGGAGGTCATCTGAGGCCTCTGCATCCTCGCCCCAAGTCTAACACTGATAGCGAGGGGAGGAGAAACTGTCACCAACTTCACCAGCTTAATAGTAGTCAGGAGGGAGCCCCAGGCAGCGAGATTCCTTTTTAATCATCAA